ATGTCTCTATATTCATCTTGCAATAGTTTCCACTTTCCAAACCTGGAAATGTGAAAAGGGTTCATATAGAGCAGAATATATCCACTCACACACATGCAGAATGATGGGTTTTAATGTAACCTGAGCGCTTTACATTCAAAAGTTCACAACAGTTACATTCAACAAGTTGAGAGAATGAAATGTTTAGTTCACGCCATTCAACCATACATATACAGAACCAAATTGGGATTGATGGGATCATTCTCTCCTTCATGCGCTCCACTAACTACACTATCATTGGTAGTTGGTGATGAGAGATGCTGATTATTTGCATAAAAATAAACTTTTCTCAACTTCGTGGCATCGATGGACACGCCCACATTGTGTCATCCAATGGTCACTTTTGCTCATGTCACAAAAAACACAATGAAAATGAGATCATGTTGCGGTGTAAACAGGGCTTAACTGAAATATGAAGGACAAGCATGCATGTAAAGTCCAGTAATTATTTACTCTTTCCCCACCATTGACAGAAATTTTGAGTTTTCACTGTTATACAGTAGGGGGCGCAATTAAATATAAATCAGCATATAAATCAAAACTGCTATAATGTTACTGAATGAAGTTTTAGGGGTGTAGGGGTTTAGGGGATGGACTCGATCTCGGCTTCGCCATCTGTGTTTTGATCTAGGGCTGAAACGATTAGTCGACAATAAAAGTTTGTCGACAAATATCGTTGTTGTCGAGTAGCCGTTTGATCTCACTTGACCTAATGTAAGGACGTGCAATATCGCGATTTGCCCGCTACGGCGCTGTGGCGCTAGAGTGTAATGCAGCACTTGACAAATGCTATAGACCCCTTTTGCGCCGACGTCACAGTTACGTCACGGCGCTACCTGGAGGCAAAACAAAGTGAAAACTGGAGGCGGCCAATGCAAAACAGCACAGATTCAGCTACATAATAAGGAGCTTAAATAATTGTTACTATTATTAAATGTAATCTTGTTGTGCTGTTTGGTGCAAGAATTGATGAAAAATGAATATGCTATGAACTTTTATTTCTAGAAAATATTCACATCATTAAAATTGCACTGTAATGTCACTATTTACATTGTCGTGGTCTCGGCGCTGGCTCGGCAGAACTGCGGATCGTACACACAAGTCTTGTACAGGACCATATAGGCATCTAAAGATTTATATGCCCTCAGTTTCTCTTTACGATCGTTTTTTCTATAAGGTAGGTGTAGAAGTCAGGCCACTCAACCGAGGTAACGTACGTTAATCCTGTCAGATCGTCCATGCATTGAGTGAGCGTGGAGGCGGCTGCAGGTCGGCCAATCTGGTTCCGTCCGTTAAAAATAACTTTTGGAAATAACAATCGCGGTCCTGGACACTGAGTGACCTTACACATTAAGATAAAATCGGATTTTCTCCAGTCATTGTTAAAAAACAAGCTAACAATCCTAGCTAACTATCGTTATGAAGCGGCCAGATGGATCTTTCTGCCTCCACCTAAGCTCCGCCCACGAAAAAATGTCACCATGTTTACCAACTGTAAAAGGGTCTATAGAGTGCCGAAGTTACGACGTCACTCTGTAGCCCAAAACGCGGAAGTGAGTTAGCATTTTAGCACTCCCGGTTCCCTCGCTCTAAAGCCTATGGGATTTTTGAACAGGTTTTTGCTAAATCGCCTGAAATAAAGTCTGTGGTGAACAAAGCCTCTAAATATTTTCACGTTTTGATCTATGACATCGAACACACAGTTATAACCTGCTTGTGTTTTTTTGTAACTTTATTGTGTCTGATTGTGTTTTTTAAAAACTTTATATAGGCTTCAAAACGTATAAATTTTGGATTTTGGATCTTGTTAAACAAAACGTGTAAGGGTCACAACTCTTTGTTTAACACAAATCTTATTTTTTAAGTTATATGGGGAAAATGCATAGCTTTCTGACAGAGGGAATCCATGCGCCGCTAGCTTCCGAGTTGTCCTGCAACGTGATGGCATCACTTCGGCACTCTATTGCGGTAAAAGAAAAAGCGCAAATTATGACGTTGTGCAAACGAATTCGAACTAGCAAGGTTTGGGAAAGTTTCACAAAACTTAAAACCAACAATGCTGTTGTGTGCAATACATGCAAGGCAGAACTTGCTTTTCACGGGAGCACAACATGCATGTTGGAGCACTTAAAGAGGAAACATCGCAGCAAAAGAGGAGCCGGTGAGAATCGAGTGTTCTCCAGCTGGAGCTAACTAACTAGTAACATAAATCCCTTTATTAGATAATGCAATACTACTAATAATAGTAATAATATTATCAATAATAATATAATTAGAGTAATGTGAGGATTTATTTTGCATAGAATAAAGCTTGATCGAGCTTAGGAGTTAGGGCTGTTTTTATTATTGTAACACTATTAGGTAATATAGTCTTATCACTCATTGCCTGTATTTTGTTCCATAATGATGAAGACTTACAAAAGGAGATGTTAGGAAGAATATCATGGCAGTTACTTTTTCTTTTTCATACTGTAAATTAAAAGGTGAATGAGAACGTCTCTGTCAGCTCAATTGTCATGATAAAAAAAGATTGTAATTTTATATTTATAATATTGGTTTGCAGATTAATATTTTACCATTTTTGTGTCCTAAAGTGAATTATCCTTTTCTGTTTCAGTTCTAAGAAAAGCAGTGGACCGATTACACCATAGAGAGCATTTGTGTGTGATTTGAGTTGAGTTGGACTGAAATCTGAAAACTTAAAGAGAATGACCAGTTTAGTTGGCTCAAAATTCATTAAAACAACTATTTCAAAACCCGAACTTATTTCCTTTTTTTATATTATAGTAAGAATATGTATAACTCAATGTTTTAACTAATTGAAAACGCTGAATAATCGTTCCAAACTTACTGATTAGCCGGCAAAATAATCGACGATTAGTCGATTAATCGTTCTGATAATCGTTAAATTAATCGATTATCAAAATAATCGTTTGTTGGAACCTTATTTTGATCATCGTTCTCAATGTAGTCTTTGACAAAAAAAGTGATTTTCTCAGCTTTTTTCTAAAAATGTTGCTTCTTTTATTAATAACTTACCCACATTCAGTGTTGATAAATAAATAAAAAAATCCATGACACTACAACAGAACGGGTTTCTGCTCTTTCTTTTGACATATTGCATGTTCAGATATTCGTACAACAAAATATTCTGGGTGCGATGAAACGTTTGTGAAAATTATTCTGTCTGGCAGGCAACTTTTAAAAATAATGCTGGCGAAGAAAGAGTTAAGAAAGCTTAGATAAGTTTTTGTGGACAATATTCAAGCTGCTGTAACTTAATGGTTTTCTTGGAAAAAGAAAGCAGAATTTAATTTCACTTTCGTTTGTCAAGTTACACTCAGTTTCCCAAGTGTTTCTCAGTGACGTTGTGTTGGGAGTGACTGTGAGCGACACACACTCTGTGCCATGAGCCGTCCACATATTAGATTTACTGACTGTAAACATTCCAGACACTTACACACCTATCATCAACAGTTTTCAGAAATCAATCATGTCACTTCCCAAGCGTTCGACTGCGACACACGAGTGTCACAGGTTCAATTCCCACCACACTACACTTGGACTGATGCATGTATTGCCTAAATGATATGTTTGAATCACAGCTGCCAAATGTAACGTAAAACTCTTGACGTTTTTAAAAAACGGAAAATGTGGAATACATTGACAACAATAATACCTTATTATTTAATTGAATATAAATTGACATAAACAGACAATTAGGCATAAATCATAAGTTCTATCTTACATGGTGTCATCTCAATAGCCTACATATAACTGTATAAAGCTATAAAGTTGTTCTTCTTACATTAAGAAATAATAAATAAATACATAAAATACTGGTGCGTTGACATAAAGAAATAGGTAACACTTTTTGTCCACAGTTGTAGTTAATAACTAAATTATGGACATGCAAATAACTCTAAAACAAACCCTATAGTAAATACATGTAGTTACTCTCAGTAGACTAATTAAATGTATAATTACAGTGTATAAAGATAATAAAATAAATTGTAACCGAGAAATATCGAAAGGAGAGCATTGATTTTTTTTTTTAAATCGTCTTGAAGTTGAGAATGAGTGTGACATACATTCAGAAAATGTCGCATTTGATAAAATCTGAAGTTCAGGGAAACAATGGAACATTCACATCCTGAATTATGTAATGTTTAACCCCATCTACAGCTCGCCTACTGAGCGACGCTACAATAACTCGCATATTATAAACAACGAAGCGTTAACATTGAAAGCGCGCGCTTCGTTTGTTAAAAATGTAACTTTGCGTCGCGCGCTCGCCTCGAAGACTTGCTTCACTGAACGCGATTTAGCTGGGTCGCGTCGCTCGTCGAAGTTGCTTCGGTCCTTTTAGCAAACATGGACGGTCTCAAGAGGCGTAAACATAACGAGTTAGCTGAACTGAAACTTATTCCCATTTTATTACTCTCCAACGCAACAGTCGCGCGCGTCACGGTGGGTTGTTTTTCGAGGGGTGGGGCGTTGTGTTTTCCCACCGATGAAAACTTGCAAACATCAAAGCATCCGCATCCCTCTTTTCATACGATACAGAACATGTCGATCACTCGGCGATACAGCTCACATTTCAATGCTTCATATCTGTCAATATCTATAAGATCTCCTCCGCGGTGATAAAGTCAATTTCCACATAATTTAGGCTTCTTTCAAAGTTCGATAATCCTGAAACTTCCATGGAAATCGACGTTGCTTAATCTATAGGGTTTAATAACGACTTGAACGATGACGAAGGTTGCTATTATTGCCAGAAACTTATGAAAGCCGCCATTCCCAACAAAACCAAGCATATCCCGAGGCGTGTGTCCACAGCTCGAGACAATGATCCCACAGAAAGCTGAAGTTGATTTGTCAAGGACACTGTAGCTCGCATTTCTCTCTGGTTTTGGGAAAGCAACAGTCAAATACGCGTAAAAGTCGGATTGCGTTACCTTTTTGCTGTTTCTGCTGTTGTACCCGTTGTAGGGGTTGAATCCCGTCCTCGGAGGAACGGAGAGCAGCATTTTCTCCTCCGCGGTGTCCGGAGCGGCGAGCCTGACGTCAGTGAGAGGAAGTTCAGGCGGGATCGAGATCGAGTCCCGCGTCGCGTCGCGTCAATATAATATCGCGTCGCCAGCTGCCGTGTCTCCGAAGCCCCGTTCACACTGTCGCTGTCTCTGCACTGTGGGCGTTCGTATAGTGCTATCACTTTAATGTTATTGGTACTGCACTCTGGCCATATCTATAGAAATACTATCATATACAACTAATATATCATTCTAATTTCACTAGGAATTAGGATTAAAAATAATTAAAAGTAACATGCTATTGGAGAGTGTTGTTATATTAGCCTACCACAGTGTTCAGTGGATACTCACTCATATTGTCAGAAATTACTAAAACAAACGTCATTCGAATTTGACAAATAATACATTGTACATAAATGAAGTTGGAAACTGTAAAATGAACTGCATCCGTGCTAAACTTGCATCACACGACGACCTATCATTGTATAAATTAAACAAACTAAGACTGTCGACAGTTTCTTTTCCATGTATCGTGTAATATATCCATTTGTGTGGTTACAGACTAGACTACAGTCAAACATAAAACTATCGCCTGACCAGACGGTGACGTGAGCTCCTGCTCCACTGACAGCCCCTCCTATTTGGTTGTTGCTTGCGAAATTCGCTTCTCATTTGCATAAAGTCGAAATATTACAGTAAGTGTTTGGAGAAAAAAAAAAGGTGATTAACTTGGAAAATAGCATACTTAAACAGAAATGGACTACACATTCATTTTATTCTAGAGTTATGCCTGATATGGACAACCTGCAGGAGGCATATAGCATAAACGTGTTAAAATCACTTTAAAAGTCAAAATGTGTAGATCTCCCTTTATCAGTTAATAGGGACGTAACCTTTGGCCTTTGGCTAACATTCTGGCAGGATTATGAACAAATGTTCATCCAGTAACATCAATACAATGTTTCTTCAAGATATAATTTTATATCTTGTAAGTGGCCTAAGTGTTTGGAGCAACATTTGTTGATTAACTTAATAATTATGGAAAATACCATATACAGAATTTAACTAATAATAACCTAAAATTATATTATTTAATATTGAACTTAAGCATTCAATTGATGAAGAAATTAGAAGAAAATTTAGAAGAAATAAAAAAGCTAAATGGATTTTTTTTGTTGTTGTTGTTGAATTCTGTACAGAGTGGAAACAAGAGGACGCTTGTTTACAGGTGTACAAGAGACTGCAATTATAAATATGGTTTTGGCCAACAAAGAAATTAGGATTCGAGAGATAAGAGCATACCATATTTGCGTAACAACATCAATGCTGTAAGCCCGTCGACCATACAGCGCATCCTCCAAACGGCACCAAGTGACAATGAAAACCCCCTAAAAATTCAGTTTGCACTGTCACACCATGGAGAAGCAAATCTGCAAAGGAATTATCCATTTAGTGATTACTTTTTTTCAATTTCTTATCTTTTTTATTTTTTAAATATGCTAATAGTGATGTAAGACAATATAGATAGCATAACAGATCAACAGAGAGGTCACAGCTCATGTTCAGCATAATTATTCAATGATTTCCAGTTGCATAGCAATGTAAGAGTTGACAGCTCTCATAGTTTGATTGGTTTCTTGTATTGCTAGTTTAGAAAACTCATGCTGCATACATTGTGATCATGAATTACAGTCACTGTTGATCATTTTTACATTATGAACTGCAGTAATATACTATAATGCCCATTTGTTTAAACTCTCTGATCATTTTAGGTCTAGTGTTCATTATTGTCAATTAGTTCTAAATACGTCACTTTGACAATTCCTTTCATTCACAAAATTATTTTGACCACTGTAAAAAAAAAATGTTGGTTTAACTTAAAAGAAAATAAGTAACCTGGTTGCCTTAAAATTTTAAGTTGGTTGAAATGGAAAAATGAGTTAATACATTGAAGATACAATGATTTAATCATAAACTCAAAATAATAAGTTTTCTGAACTAAATCAATTATTTAAGTTGATTTGACAAAAGAAAAAATGTTGTGATAACAAATCTTGAAAATATTTTTTACAGTCGATAGAATGACCCTCAGCAGGAGAAGATAAATGATAGTGAGATAGTGATAGCGAGAGCTGCTCTATCGAAATGTCACTGTGGAGATTTAAATGGTTTGGGTATAAACAGGACTGTTGCCAAGCAACATAGCCCACAGTTATGGACATTTTGACCCATAAAATCCACACAAATGAGCTTAAAGCGAAATACAAGTGAGATACTGTTGGTTTGTATGGTTGTTTACATGGTGACAAGCCGTTCAAGTGTTGGTTTGACCCTTCAACAGAATGTGAAACACTGTGAAACTGAGACAGTTCGTGTTTTTACATCATCTTTTCCCCTGAAACCGAGATTGCACGATTTGTTAATGACACACAGTCTTAGACAATTCGCATACCTGTGAAAAAGAGCCCAAATGTTTTTTACACGTCAGAAAAAAATAAATAAATAAAAAATAGTGAAGAAGAGATCATTTATCAGCTGTCTTTAATTTGAACTGGAGTGATTTCTAACTTTAAAATTACTGGAGCAACTAGTTTATTTAATGTGTCTAACAATACAGTTTTTGTTGATTGTTCACACACATTCCCTGAAAGCATGCCTCATACACTCAGAACTCACAAATCAAAAAACACACACAATGGGCAAACCCCCTTAATTCTAGTGCAAAATGAAACTTTACATTCAAAACAAAGTTATTTATTCTCAAAGTGGTATTTTGTTTTCAGATAACACACATTAGAACTTATTAGAACTTAATTAGAATTTGAGTGTGAAGTGGGAATTGTGCAGAATTGGTTCAGGGGGTTGGTGCATGAGTTACATTTTGTGGTCTCTCAAGTACCAGAATTTATGTGTAAACAATATTGAGAAAAACTGTAATACGCATCAGGAGAATTATACCTGACGCCTGTTTTTATTTATTTATTTTTTATTCGCCTTTATCCATTAATTTATAATTGTATTTTCCTTTATTCATGGAGATAGATCACAACTGTGGGACAGTCAATAGCCTACATTTCAACAAATATTGATATGGTTTATGTTTATTTCCATCTTTGTTTAGATTATCAGTGTAACAATCATTTTATGATGGATATCTATTTTGAAAATGAGGATTTGGAGCATCTGTGTTGTTGACAAAGACAACTGTGTCATGCAGTTAGCAAGATGCACTTTGAAAATGTTGCCATATCACAATAAAACATTTATAATACATACAAAACATAGTAAATATTAAAGTGTTTCCATACATGTTTTAATTATATATTGAATAAAGATCTGCTCACCTGATTATATTGCCTGTGATTATTTAGGAAGTTTTGTACAGTGTGTATTGGTGTCGTTGTACAGAAACCAGAACCAATAGAGACTATGGACTCATTTCAAGGATATTTGTTGTTACTCCAGTGAACTGCCTCAGTGATGTATTTGCAGAAACATGGTAAAGTGAGTAGATGGCGACATCTTGAGTTCAGTGTTGAAAATCAAATTTGAGGTTGTGTGCTCCCCTTTCATACAGCTTTCTTTCCATTAGAAGAACTAACGTTAAACTTGCGAATTGAAAACGTTGAAAAGCATGTTTGGCCTCACTGTCTGCCCTATATAGGCTACTTTCATTAAGTTACCCTTGTACCAAGAGTACAAGGTTTTGCTGGTTAGCATGCTGCATTAGCCCTGCTTGCTTGTAGGCAGTACTTCGGCTAAGGGCTGTTCACAATAAGAACGTTAACTATTAATAGTAGCCTATAAAGTAATTAAGTTAGCGCCCACACCAGCGGAAGATATCGTTGTGTTGTCTGTCACTTTAAATGTTCGAGCTATTTACAGCAGGATGGATTCTGATTGGCTGTCAAGGACAAATCGTTCTGAAAGTGATTCCAACCATTTCTCTGTGCCATTATCGTTATATCTGAGGTGTGTGGATTATTCTTCGATATTGAGAACGATTTTTAGAGCTATATATTTATCGTCATCTTATAGTTAGTCCTTGGTGTGAACCTTGGGGCTCTATAATGCCCCTTTCACAGATGTAAAATAAGTCTCTGATGTCCCCAGAGTGTGTATGTGAAGTTTCAGCTCAAAATACCCCACAGATATTTTTTTATTGCATGTTAAAATTGTAAACGTTTGAGGGTGAGCAAAATGTGTCCTTTTAAATGCAAATGAGCTCTGCTCCCCGCACAGAGGGCGGAGCTTACAGCTCATGTGTTTATTTGTGTGTTTTAGCAGCAACATTTTACGGAGGCGTATTGCATTCACTTGAAGAAAAAAAATCTACTCTGTTTTTCTGAATTAACGAGTTAATTTTTCATGAGAAAAAAAAATTGCTCTGTTTTTCTGAATTAATGAGTTCATTTTTTATGAGAAAAATTTTTTTTGCTCTGTTTTTCTGAATTAACGAGTTAATTTTTCATGAGAAAAAAATGTTTTCCTCTGTTTTTCTGAATTAATGAGTTAATTTTTCATGAGAAAAAAAGTTTTTGCTCTGTTTTTCTGAATTAATGAGTTAATTTTTCATGAGAAATTTTTTTTGCTGTTTTTCTGAATTAATGAGTAAATTTTTAATGAGAAAAAAGTTTGCTCTGTTTTTCTGAATTAATGAGTTAGTTTTTCTTAAGAAAAAAAAGTTTTTGCTCTGTTTTTCTGAATTAATGAGTTAAGTTTTCATGAGAACATTTTTTTGCTCTGTTTTTCTGAATTAATGAGTTAATTTGTCATGAGAAAAAAAATGTTTTCCTCTGTTTTTCTGAATTAATGAGTTAATTTTTCATGAGAAAAAAAAGTTTTTGCTCTGTTTTTCTGAATTAATGAGTTAATTTTTCATGAGAATATTTTTTTGCTGTTTTTCTGAATTAATGAGTTAATTTTTCATGAGAAAAAAAGTTTTTGCTGTTTTTCTGAATTAATGAGTTAATTTTTCATGAGAAAAAAATTTGCTCTGTTTTTCTGAATTAATGAGTTAGTTTTTCTTGAGAAAAAAAAGTTTTTGCTCTGTTTTTCTGAATTAATGAGTTAATTTTTCATGAGAAAATTTATTTTTGCTGTTTTTCTGAATTAACTCAATTAACTTTGTTCCATTAAAAATTAAGTCATTAATTCAGAAAAAGAGCAAAAAAAAAAAAATTCCATTAAAAATTAACTCATTAATTCAGAAAAACAGAGCAAAAAAAAAAATTTCAACTGGAGCGTGTCACAAATGAACCGAAACACAAACATAACCAATAGGCATATAGAAAGCTTGAAATGTCTACTTTTAAACGAACCAATTTGAAACGTAAAAATAGTCTCCATGTAATCCAAAAGAAAGGTGCATTTCTCTCATAGGCACGCACACGTTCGCTACGCCACAGAGAAGACGAGTCAGCAACGTCAACTTCATCTTTGCAGCCAACACTGACTCAGAAAACACTAGTTTATTAATAATGTCTCCTGGCTATTTTTTCCAGAAACATTCACAATTATTAGGCTACCTTTGCCTAGCTTTATACGTGTGCTTGAGCGCGAGCCATATATTCCACCCCCAGTGGCCTATACAAGTCATTGAACCTGTAAAAAAAAAAGTCAACAAACTGAAAAAATAAAATGGTAATATGTAATATTAAAACAGGTTTCATAAAATTGGTATTGAAAAAAGTATTGTTCAGGAACCGGTATCAAAGTCAAGGTATTGATATCGAAAAAAAAAGTAACGATACCCAGCCCTACATTTATGTAACATTTATAATATTACTGATGTGCATATTGAGACAAAACAATGGCACTGATATATTTTAAAATGCGTCAGTGCAAGTTGCTTTCAGTTAAAACTGCTCCAACATGCAATGTAGTCTGGGACTAGCTTAAGGTCTGGTCTGTGAAACCTAGTTTGGCTGGTGTTCTCCATGTAGTCATCTTCACAAAACTAACATTTAGTTCGATTGACTGATGCTCCTATATTTGATAGGAATATCAGTGTGATTGAAGCAGTAAAAAAGTCATCTATTCTCTATTATATACAAAGATTACTCTAGATATTCATCAAACCATCAAGTCTAACCTTTAAACCTTTCCACTTCAAACCATTCTTTCCTTAATTTGAACGATTCTTTAACAATTTTTAACCACAACCAACCATCTGCAACTAATTCACCTGGTACTTACAACCATGATAATAAATCTACTACTAACTAGGAACTGAACCTCAAAACATCAACTCACATTTAAATAGCTGAATTGAACTTTTAAGGAGTTCAACTTTACAGACGAACTCAGCAAATTAAGTTGCATTATCGTTATACTAAAAAGTATGTAAAAAATCAGGTAGACATAAAAATATAAACAAAAAATAGAACAAAACTCTAGTAAAACTTGTAGGATATTGAATGTGTGTGGATGTAAATATTTGGTCGTTGTTTGTTTTTTTTTTTTGCCTCATACATACCCTCTTTAGTGCGTTTATGATGACGGATAAAGGCCACAAGCTGGAAATGACTGGTCTAACAGTAAAGTTGTTCAATATCCTACAAGTCTGGCTGGAGTTTTGAGCTGTTCAGAAGAAGAGTAGGAATCTCTGGAACAACTTAGAAACATGGAAAAAGACAAATATAAAAACTGCCATGCTACCAGAGCTGGTAATCTTCATATTATTTGCACTGCAAACTCTTTTTATAAGCTGTAATGCGGTTATATATGAAGAATTTCAGGTTCTTCCAGTCCCGGTTCTTTAGAGCTTCAGGTTCAGCCTTTAAACACTTCTCACAGTCACTCTTTGCCGGTACAGTACAAGATGTGATGAAGTGCATCATGTGCCTTTGCACCGCCTGCACCTCTGTCTGCTGCCAGGGTTTTTTCCTCTGGGTAGTTTTACCTGAAAGCAGTAAAAAAAAAAAAACATAAATAAAAGGTCAAAGAATAGCAGCGTGTGCTGAAGTTCTGAACCCTACATCAGTATTTCGCAAAACTGCAATGGAAACTGTTTTTGCGCATTTACAGGTCACCTGGCACATATGGTGTGATGTGTTTGGTCAGAAGATGAGACGGAGATTCTAAACGACAAAGAAACGCCACAATCAAGACCTTGAAGCAGAAATGAGAGAGAAAAACCTCACATGGGCCATAAGGATTTCCTCTCCATTAATGCTTGGATACGCCTACGTCTCCTTCCATCCTTCCTTCTAATAATAACGGCTAGTGCGGTGACTGGGATTTATGTAAACCTAGCGACATCCGTTGCCATACTTTTTGGAATGAGTTATCACAAGAGGAAAAATGACGTTTTAGTTTATATAGACGCAATTGTTTTTAACAACATTTAGAAAATATCAAACGCATTCTCATCCTAGGGCGTCATATAGTGACACTTTTGAAATTTCGTCTAAATCCAACGCACATGGCACCCTTTAGCGTCAATATAACACGCACAGAGCTTTGTTCGGTTATGGTAGGTTTAGTTCTGGGGTAGGTTTAGGGTTACACCACTAGGAGGCGCCTTCTGGGCCATATATATCTGCGTCTCATATTGACGCTAAAGGCGTTGGATGTAGACGAAATGTCAAAAGCGTCAGTATATGACGCCTTGGGATGAGAACGGGCTGAAATATTGCAAACGTTTTGAGCAAATCTGTAATGTAAACGCGACCACTGAAACACTGATTTCTAGATTTTGTCAATTGGACTGAATAGATAATTGGGGAAATTATATTTTTTGATAAATTATTTGCTATACGTCTTCAAAACGTAATGGTTAAATCAGACCACTTTTTATGCGTTCATTAATTTTTGGATTAATTACATAAATCCATCTAGCATACTATCTAGCATGTTCAATGAATTCTATAAGACATAGCAACAGGAATTACTTCAAATGACAGTAAAGCTACTTGAAGTTGAGTAATACAAACCATAAACAGTAGATGAAGAGTGTCCCTCCTGTATGTGCCCGTCTTCCTCATCACAGTTCACAACTTTTTCTGTGGAGGACATACAAAGCACAGCTTCACAACGGGATTAAGCAGAAAGTGGTAAACACAGAACAGACTAACAAAAATAAAACAAATGATAACACTTTACAGTAAGACTTCCTTAGTTAACATGAAGTAAGCATGAACAATACTTCTAAAGCAGCAATTCATCTTAGTAATATCAGACTGATCTCATGAAATGGCGTATGTATGACACGCCAATTCGTATTTGCATTCTTGACGTGCTATCAACACGCATAATCGCTTTTCAGCGTGTTTATGAACGCCATTGACTTAAAGGTGGAATACCTTCGATTTTTTGCATTAAAATATCCCAAAATCACAAGGTCAGTGTTATACATTTAGTTAAGATGATAACTTACAATATTCCAAATGTTTCAAACAATGTTTAAATCGCGAGAAAATTTTGATTTTAACCAAGGAAACGGGGCGTGTGAGCTGGGAGTCGCCAGTAAATCGCGTCATATCCGCGTTTCCGCTCGTACTGCGTGTAGTCCTGGACAAATGCGGAAGTTGTAGTTGTGCGTTAGCGTCTATCAAGCAACAAACGTCAGCTTGTTTCGCGCATTTGTTATGGAATGGAGCACAATTATTCTTTAGCGATTGCATCTGGTTCTGTCTACAAAGACAAGTCTCATAAGCGCAAACGTCAACGAACGGGTCAACCAAACGACCCAAGTAGAATTTGGGACAAGAGAAATAAAACAAGCTCAACATCGGTGTGGCATTTCCTAAATGGAGAGAACTTTGTGAAAAACTCTAACTAGAAAGAGACGCCGATCTTGCATGTGTTTTACTTGACAAGATGCAAAACAATTAGTATTATTGTTAGAATGCCTTGTTATCTATGCATATGATGTGAAAAATCGTAAGGTCATATTGACCGCGAATACACACGGAATGTAAACTGTTGGCTGTATCTTAGAAAACGACATTTATCTGAAAAGTGTTTCAACCGTCCCGGCTCTCCCCTAACATCTGTGATAACTAATTTACTTTTAAACCTGACTTTTCTTGCGGTTATTTCAGTTTAATGAAAAACAAGCATGTCATTAAACGCAACAGTTATAGAAATCGAACTTTACCTCATCCATGACAACTAATTTTCGATTCCCGTCTGACTGATTTATACTGTCTATGATTTATCCACGGTGGAGTTGAAAACAACAGTTCCCATCATTCCGCGTTCCTCCACGGCGTCATCAAGCAAAGCCGTTGTTGTTGTTTTGAATGTAGCGCCCTCTAGCGGCATAAAATCTTAGGTATTGTAGCTTTAACGTTACATGACTGTATATGAAGAGTTCAGATGCAAAAGCCTCTAAATGCCATTTGAAATTTTCTTCTTTAATGATGATTTTTATCAAACTTGGGTATTTAAGTTCAGTAATTTAATTATCATTGCCATTTAAGTGAAATTACTGAACTTAAATATACAAGTTTGATAAAAATCATCATTAAAGAAGAAAATTTCAAATGGCATTTAGAGGCTTTTGCATCTGAACTCTTCATATATAAATATATGACCTACCCCAACCCCGTCCCTAAACCTACCCGTCATTGTTATTGGGTTAATATCATTTTTGAGTCTTCCTCTACCATCCTAGGAAAAAAAATCTCGCTCCCCAGATGTAGATCTACATTTTGCTTGGTTTCGCTCGGACATTTAACGGAGTGTACATACACGCGGAATCAGTCGGACATTTAACGGCGTAGACATAGCTCAAAATGCGTATAGATAAGTGTTACGCAAAATATGTGTTATACGCAAAAGTCATGATGTCATGTTGGTTAATTTCAACATTTACTAATACAAAAACATTAGTTAATGCACCATGAATTAAACAATGAACAGCTGTATTTTTATTAACAAATACTGTAGCAAAAGTATTGCTCATTGTTAGTTCATGTTAGTTAACTAATGAACCTTACTGTAAAGTGAAACCAAATAAATGAACACACCGTCAGGATCGATCACAATTTCATCCCAGTTCTTGCCATGGAACTCAGCTAATCTCCCTTGCTCGAGAGCCATTAAAACTTTGCTGATCTTGGCAAGATGCAGGGTCTTCTCAGGGAGCCGGCAGAACTCACGATGGATTATTATGTAGTGTCCGAGAAAGTTGGCGAGCTGCTCCATCTCCGTGTCGGTCATATTCAGCACCGTTGAAAGGGTTGCGGCTTGCTTCCGCAGTCTGGTGGACGTCAGTGACTTGGGAAACTTCGCACCACACGCTTTTGCAAAGCCACGGAGGCAGTCTGACCCTTGGAAATGCGTCATGGCTTCTGGCCTTGCGAACAAAAACCCATTGTCTTTCAAAACCCCACAAGCCTCTCTGTGCTGAACAAGAAGTTCTAAGGCACTCAACATTTGTGGAGTCAGAAGAATTGGGACGGGCCAACCATGCGTTCCTCTGGTGACAATCATTGAGAAGTTTCTGCAGAGTATTTTCTCCACTTCGGAGAGCGCCCAGCCCACATCCACAAGCGGGTCAAAGGTGTCTCTTGATAAAAATGCAGACAAAGGCACGTTCGCCACCTCAGCTTCCCTGCGCCGGTTAAAGAGAATCACCTGCGCTAGACACACCTTCGCCAGCTCCATCCAGGCTTTAGCAGAGGGACTTTCAGAGAGGCAACTGTTCCACTTATCTCGCACTTGACTGAGATACGTATGCATCTTCTGGACGTCTTCGGTAAAGGGCATGATAGTGGGCACATTGCTCTTTGCCTCCCTGATGTTCCTCAACGCTGTCGCCGAGATCATCTCGTTCCACTTCTCCTCGTGGATCTCTTGAAACTCACTGGCATTCTTCACAAGCTCTTTGTTGTTTGAGAGTAAACCCTGAGCTTTCAAGACTTTGTTAACTTTAACCAGGGAATTCCCGAGCTTGGTGGCGAGTGTTGGAATCAAGAACTTGTCGGATTCAGCGTCATACCCGCATGTGTACCTGACGGCTTTGACAGTCTCCATATACTTCTTGGGATTTACGCAATCTTTAATTGTTTTTAAGGTGGTGACTCTCCTAGCGTTGTCAAGCAGCCTTCCCAATTCTCGCATCTTCTCTCGCACGCCCTGTTTATTCTTGGCTGATATCCCACCTTTGTTTAACAAGTGCTGCCCAAAATCAACAATTACTTTGTCATTTTTTATTATATCCGTGATGGGGTCAGGAGTCATGGTGGTTATCACTCCCCACAGCTGTTTAGTTATGTTTGAAGGCACGGGCCCCGTGTATCTACACAACGACTGAACGCGGTATTTTCCTGGTTTGGGGGCGACTGAGCGAGGTTTAAGTCTACAGTAACGCATATGTCGCCACAGGACCTTTCTTATAAAAAGCCCTTGACAGTATACACAGTGCATGAAATCATCCGCCTGCGCTTCTTTAGGTGGCCGTTTAAATGGCACAAGTTCCCCCTTGCCTGATTTCACAACAGCGGCATTGTGAGCATAGTTTCCTCTGTTGCGAATATAATCTAGCAGTTTTCTTCTCTCCTTGGATCCCTTCGGAAAGCTTAGAGCTTTGGCCACATCAGATTTTTTTTTATGCGAACCTTCTAGATGCCTCGCCATCTTAGCATAAGGCTTACGGCAATACAAGCAGTAATGTCTCTTGTCGTACACTCTGCTGCCTCCTCTTTTCTGGTATGCACTAACAACTATGCCGTCTTTAGTGTTCTGACTCGAACAGGGTTCTTCTGCTGTTCCAGACGCTTCAGATGTAAGACTCTGGCTATCAAAGGTCATTTGGTCAGACGTTGTCTCGCGGACGGGGGAACTCGCCGAGCCAGATTCATCAACATCCATCTCATCTAGAAGCTGAAGTTTTGTCTGGTCTGGTATGAGGTTATCTTCACTGTCGGTTTCAGAAAAGATATCTGAAATGTAGGAATCTGAACTCTCTGACGTAGAATCATAGAGATCATAAGAATCCTGAAGATCCATGTTTTTCATCTAAAAAAATAAATAATAAGAAACACATAGAACTGATATTTGATGAGCAAATTTTGGATCATCTCTTGGTCATTCAAGTAATTTTTCAATGTTTTTTGACAGTTGATTTGACAAAAATAAGAGATGCACCGATTGCAATTTTCTTGGCTGATTCTGATTTTTTTTTTAAGCGTGACCTGCTGTTACAGATTTTTTGCCGATTACAAATTTCTTTCCAGGAACTATAATTGACAGCATATACAAACAAAAAATCTACTTTTGCTAAATAGTAATAAAATAAGAACAAATAAACACACTGAATAAAGAGATATATGAAATACACATGGCTTTAAGTTTTTCAGCTGGGTCTGACAGTAAGTTAGTATTGAGGTTAGAAATACTACAGAATATCACTGGATATCAGCGGCGGGGGGCTTTTAAATCACCAATTTAAAGGCAAAATGCGTACGTTTGCACGGCAGCACTGTTTTGTTGTTGTGTTTTTAATTATGAATAATAGGCTAATGAACTAACCTGCGATGTGCACATTTTAGCTTCGTTTTCAGTTCAGAACAAAATAGTATTTTTGAGTTTGACTTGAGAACTTACCATGCTATTTGCAGTCCATCTCAGTTTCGGTCCAAAAATCTCATTTTCATTTCGGAACTGCGACACAATCTGTAAACATAAAAAATCAAAAGTATACAACAACATTTTGCATTGGTATAGTATTTGAAATCGAAAAAAAGACTTTAACCTCTGTCTGGACACACATGTGAATAAAACAGACTATACCAGTCAATGGGGAATGAGATCTATGTTTGATTAAAACATTCTTCCAAATATCTTCCTTTGTGTTCAGCAGAACAAATAAACACGTAGAGGTTTGGAACAACATGAGGGTGAGTAAATACTGACAGAATTTTCATTTTTGGGTGAACTAACCCTTTAACCTGATTTATCCTTATAATTATCAAGCAGTAAAATAGGTCCTTCCCACGCCCAAAACGAGGCGTCTGCATGAGTGAAATGACACTATATTCAACAACAACAGCTTTCATGGTCACTGCAAGTTTTATCGTTTAAATAGCTCATATGGGAAAATCAAGTACTTTACTTGCATTATTATTATTAAGAGTTCATATGAATGTCTAAAATACATTAAGCCTAGCTCCATAGCTAAACATAACCACTTAAAAAATAAATAAAATAATGCTGTCTATATGAATTACATACAAATACTCATGGTCACGTTGTTAAAATACATCAGCAAGGTTTAGGGGGGAAAATAGTTTGTAAAACTCCCAATAAAACATGCAAACCAAATGTGTGTGTGTGTGTGTATGAGAGTGTGTGATTGCGTGCGTGTGTGGTTGTTTTTGTGATTTATGAGCACAGTCATTTGTATAATGACATTGGTATTACACTGGTATTACAACATGAACGTGATTTATGAGGATATTTACGGAGTATTTCAAATGGCTTTAAAAACATACTAAACAGTGTTTTATTAAAAATGTAAAAATGCATAAAGTTTTCTGTGATGGGCAGGTTTAGGGGTCGGGTTAGTGTAGGGGAATAGGATATAGAGTTTGTACAGTATAAAACCATTACGCCAACGGAGGGTCCTCACAAGTATAGCTAATATACTTGTGTGTGTGTGTGTGTTTGTTCATGTTTTCTATCCCGCTGGGGACTTCAACTTGAATGCACACAGACCCATGTGGACTCATGGCACTGTGGAGACCTACATTGAGGTCCCCAGGAGGAAACAAGCTTATAAATCCTGCAGAATGAGTTTATTTGGAAAATGCAAACATGCAGAATGTTTTCTGTTGTGGCCAGGTTTAGGAGTCGGGTTAGTGAAAGCGGAGAGAATACACAGTTTGTACAGTATAAACACTATTACATCTATGGAGAGTCCCTGTTAACCTCATATTTAAGAATGTGTGTGTGCGTGCATAATGTATTTGAAAACATTTTAATGAATACTGAATATGAATGGAATTAATGAGGTTGGTTTAAAGCACTTCATTAATGTAATTTTCCCATTTCCCATGACCTAATAATATAAAGTGAGAAACCGTTAATAAACCGTTAAAGCATTATCTAACTCTTTACATATGTGCTAATAAAAACAATAATTTGTTAATTACAGTGACAATTAATGAAGTACTCACTATTTGTATTTAGTCTATTTATGTGTTAGCTAGCTACAGTTTATAAACTATTATTTAACTTTGAAAATGATTTGTAAGTAGTTTATTACACTATACTCATAAAGTGTTGAGGCTGATTTCTACTTCTGCGCCGGACCTACGCCGTATCTTCTACGCTGTAGGCTATGCATCGGTTTTCATTTATACTTCTGCAACATTGTCCGCGTCAATGTGTAATTACACATGTAGACAGATCACAGCCCTTCTTCTTTGGTGATTGGTTCACTTCTAGCAAACCAATCACAGCGCTTGCGGCCCGTGTTGAATTGACACATTGTTACATTTTTGGAAAGGTGAACGTCAGATGTAGCTAAAGCGTAGGTTTGACGCATGAGTTTAAATCAGCATTTACTCTTACAATCCAAATTCAATTTAAATCAGATTTGACCAATTTATTCTAATTGATGTGGTTACATTTGAATTGTGCTACTAGTTCGATTAGGGGATTATTAGGGTCCATATATACACGCAGCTATTGACTGAAAGTGTGCTGTGGGGACGTTACGAGTGTCCAGAAACAAAAAAACACAAAAACAAATCCCTGTGAAGGTTCAAATCAGCCCTAATCAGTCAAATCAAGTATACCACTACCACTAACCTTCTGGACACACAACATTAAACTGTTAGTGCACTAATTCTCACTCTATTACTATCAAAACAACCACAAGGAAGGAAGAGAGACTGTAGAATGATTGTTTCTGTGTGATGAGCATGAATGTACCTGGTGAGGAGAGCTGTTTGGACCTGTAGCATCATCCATCTGTAAAAAATGTATTATGACAACATTCAAATAGTTATTTTTATAGAGCTGTCCATTACAAAAAAAAAATGTATATATATTTTTATTGGATGTCTGGTTAGGCACGATGTAAGTTACCTGCTGGTGAGTTTTTCTATTGCGCACATCCATCTAAGCCTTTTAAATCGCAGGACTTCCTTGAAATATTAACATTTAGACCACAAATATGATGAAATCCTCCTCCGTATGTCAGACCATCTCGTTTATCAACGCTCGGTTCGACCTTCGAAGGGATGCAGCTACACACACACACAATAAAAGCAAAATGACGAGAAAAAGGAAACACTTGAGAAACATTTAAACACAGGGATGCAAACTTAGGAAGATTTTAAAAAAATGACACGCGAGGGTGGACACAAAAATCCACAGAAATCATAGATATGGACGAACAAATTTGTTTAAAACATGACAGTACTACAAAACACAACAAAGATAAACAGTACGTTCGATATCTATCTATCTATCTATCTATCTATCTATCTATCTATCTATCTATCTATCTATCTATCTATCTATCTATCTATCTATCTATCTATCTATCGCTGTGTTTTTGTATGGGTGAGGACTAATTTTAACTGTAACGTTAAGCATCAGGACATGATTGTTTATAGCGATTTAACGGGTTGTTGTTTTACCCTCAAGCCACACTAGCCGAATTTCTGTCCCCGGTGAATAATTCACAAGTTTCACCCCTCAGTTTAATACATTGAGCAGTCTGCTCCCTCAGAAAACACAGCGAAATGCTATAGCATAACAGTTAGTAAGGTTAACGTTACAGTTTTGCCCCACAGCACCGAACCAATGCAGTGGCTCAGCTAACTTAACGGATTGTTTAAATAATATTTTTAGTTTTTTTAAAACACGCTTGGTTTTAAACATTTGTATCGCTAGCTATTTCAGTAAGTTAAAACACAATACTTACATTTAAGCGTACATTTAGTGATGGGCGCTTTAAATCGACGTGAAGCTTCGAAACCTTTGCGAATCATTTGTTTCGAAACAGAGATTCGGAGTGCGTACCACGTGATTACTGTAAACGAGGCTTCGTTGCGCCATTGCCTTGTCGATATTTCAGTGGTTCGCCGCTAGGGGTCGATCATCTCTGTTGGCTTTGAACTTTGTCTGTATATGGTTAACCTGATCTCATAAAACATTTTTTGTTTTGTTTTGTTAATTTGTAGACATGTTAATGAAATATTTGTATAATAAAAGGGAAGAGTTTTTGTTAATAGTCTTTTATTGGTCTGATTAACCAAGCTCTCCATAAAACAAACAAGAACAAGCCCTACAATTTAATGAATTAGCTCATATTATAAAGACACTTCACATTTAATGGTATCAGATGATTTGTTCATTGCATTTGAAATTAATATGCAAGTTTTCGCTGCATTGGCACTGTTCTGACCAGCAGGGGGCGCCAACGTGTGGCGATTCGAGCGGTTAGAACTAGTGAATCATTTTGAAGCAATTGATTCAGTTGATTCAAAGATTCGAAAAGCTTTGATGACGGGAACTGGGCGGAGTAAACACAAATTTTCAAGAGTTTCTTGTTCTGTTTTAAAGCGCCACTGAAAATAGTGCGTCCTCTATTGATCACTTAATTACGCGTCAGTCTAGAAATAAGTTTAACTTTGAAAAAATATTCATCAATATACAACGGTTTGCATATGTGTTGCGTTTATAATGATTTACAGCCATTGATTTGCCAGAGGTAGGCATCACTGTTTTTATGAGGTAACGTTAGTCTACAGCTCTGGAAAAAAACAAACAAAAAAAAAACAGTTTCTCTGGATTTATTATTTATCTGTTTGCGTAAAATTGACTAAAAATTGTTAGAAAATTGTTACAAATTTGTTAGAAAGTTGACTAAAAATTGTTAGAGCATTTATTTGTTGAAATCTCTCAGATTTAATAAAAAATAGTGTGTTCAATCTGAAGATGAACGGAAGTCTTTATTTTCAGTCAGGTTTGGAACGACATGGGGGTGAGGGATTAATGAAAAAATTATATTAACTGGTTTTTGTGCAAGTGAGATGAGTAAATGCATGTTCACATAAAGTCTAGAACTAAAATAACCATCATGTTCACACACACACACACACACACAGAGAACACCTCACTTTGTTTCTCTCAACAGGGACAGGACAGATGTCAGTAAATAAATGTGAAAACTACTTAAAAAACAGGTAACTTAAATATGTTGTTGTAAATTGAAAAAGTAACGTTTTACTTTACTAGTTACTTGAAAAAGTAATCTATGTATTTATGTTCTACTCAAGTTACTTGTAATGAGTTATCCTGTTGACAACAATCCCAGATGGCCATTTCAGGAATCTAATACAACTTGTTACATTAATTTCATCTTAAAATACACCACCTGCATGCTTCTCTGGCACTGTCATAGTTCTGGATACAGTCATCCGTCTTGTAAATGTCGTGTGATTAATTACTCCAGAGGAAATTTTGCTATCATAAATAAAAGTACTAAAAGTTGTCCTCTCTCAACACGAGTTGAGCTGAAGAAGATCTGCATTAGTCAGTGATCTGAGATGATGACTGCACTTTGGTTTGCTGTAGATGTTGCTATTGTTCTTTGTTTGTAATTTTTGGAAGCTGTTTTACAATGTCTGATAAGCATTCTGACAAAAGCAGCATGTCAGCTGAGCAGAAAAATATGGATTTACTGAGAAAAAAAGCATACATTTTAAAAGTATAAGCAACATGATGGATGGCAGATTACAAAAGACAAGATGAAGCGGTTTTTCATCTGTGACATTTTAAAAACAAGTATAAACAAGTGTAAAAATTCACTTTCTTCTGTCATAAACCCTCATCAGGTTTAAAGGTGCTCAAAAAACGCGTCACTACAACCAATGCACAAAGGTGCCTGCCTTCTAGTTTTGGGATCTACAAAATTTGAATATCGTGCAAAAGTTCATCCATTTCAGTAATTCAACTAAAAAGGTGAAACTAATACATTACAAGCAAAGTGAGATATTTCAAGCCTTTATTTGTTATAATTTTGATGATATAGCTTACATTTTATGAGAAACCCCAATTGAAAATTAGGATATTGTGAAAAGGTTTTCATATCTGTAAGCCATAATCATCAAAAATATAACAAATAAAGGCTTGAAATATCTCACTTTGCATGTAATAAGTCTATATTAGTTTTACCTTTTAAGTTGAATTACTGAACTTTTGCAGGATATTCTCATTCGAGTTTCACCTGTACTTGTAAGCAGCTTTCTCTCTCAATTACACTTCATTTCATTCATCTGAAAATAAATACATTACCAGTCAAAAGTTAGGACACACTAACTCATTCTTTACTATTAATCTAACATATGTGTCATGAAAACTATCCAATTGAAATATTTCGAAAAATCTTTTACATGTGTGCTGCTTTTCCTTCTCTATCCGTGTTCCAACTCACCCATTTCTTTTCTTCACATTTGAACAAAGATGTTTAGGTTTGCAGAGAGATTCATACATAGGCACAATTTATTGTTGTCTATAAAACTAATTTCAAGCAGTTAAGCAGAAGCCTTTCAATCAAAAGGTTTTAAGATCATGAGAAACATTTCAGTCAAGTGTGTTCAAATCTACAACACTGACATTCTCACTTAAAAAATCGGTTCTGTAAAAGTTTGTAATAAGCATAAGTAATATTGCAATGGTTTGGATCTGTGCAGGGGAAACTGATTATGATCCTCATAAATAATTATAATGATGGTAGTAAAACTGGCACATAAAATTGATAACATCTGCTTGATATTGTAGTAAGTTTAAAGCAAACACTGGTCAATGTCAAAGTTGCCTTCTCCACACAGTCAAACATACAACAACTGATGGAACAACATTTTTCTCTATACATCTCATACAAAAATAAAAAAATGTCATTGTTCCAATCTTTTTCTTTTTGACTCCATATTGCACAGAGGTAGTGGCTATTAAGGTAAAAGGGAGGTGACCTAAAAATCGAAACCTTTTGTTTTTCTGAAAATTGATCTTTTGCTCTTGTGATGTTTAGTTGTGACCAGAAGAATTGTAAAAGAACAAAATATAATACTGCAATCACATACAAAAGTAGTCCTTCATTTTGTACATTTTATACAGTGTTAACACTTAATCATTGATTTTTCTTCATGTTTTTTTTTCTTCTTCTTCTTTTTCTCTAAAAGGCAAATGGTATTTTCCATGTCTGGCCCAAACGGATGGCGTGTCTAAGCCAGCGGGTCCACCAGCGGCTCCTCGTCGCCCCGGGACAGCAGCTCCTTCTTCTCATCTGTGCTGGCCAGGGAATTGCGGCTGTTGTGCGCTCCCATGTAAAGAGTGGCATACACGGGATTCGTGAAGTTGGTCGGCTACAAAAGACACAAGAAACATTTGGGATTATCTAGTTCGGTCGTGAAAACCACGGTCACAGATGGCTATGAGATGGCTTGCTTTGACATTTTTAGGTCAAACCGTTCTTGTCTGTCAGTCATATAATGGAGGTCTATGGTCACCACCTCAAAGAGCATGCACAGAGAAGTCCAAATGAAACATGATTTAATGACTCGTAAATGTAAGTACACATTGATGACCTAAGACACGAAACGAGCGGTTTGTGTGAGAAAACGAACAGTATTTATATCGTTTTTACCTCAGCTACGTCCAACTGATCTGAGGGCGCTTCTGTCTGCGCAAGTGCCAGAAAGCGCTGGAAGTGATCTCTCGCGCGATTGCGAAGACAAATTCAACGTTGTCTGTTGATATCATCTTCCATTGCGATTTCCTGTATATCTAAATGAAAACGAACAGCTACGTAGCGCCCGCGCCCTCAGATCAGTTGGACGTGGCTGTGGTTACAAGAGGTAAAAGCGATTTAAATACTGTTCGTTTTCTCACACAAACCGCTCGTTTCGTGTCTTAGGCCATCAATGTGTACATTTACGAGTCATTAAATCATGTTTAATCTGGACTTCTCTGTGCATGCTCTTTGAGGTGGTGACCATAGACCTCCATTATATGACTGACAGACAAGAACGGTTTGACCTAAAAATATCAAAATTGAAAATACTGTGGAAACAAAGACACCTACATCTTGGATGCCCTTGAGGTAAGCTAAAACATATCAAAAATTAATTTCAAAGTGAACTATCCCTTTAATAGAGTAGTGCAATAAAGTATGAACATCCTTAGTTGGCTCTTTCTTACTTTGTCGGGATCCAGTGTGAAGTCGGCGTCCAGCAGTTCTCCAACATCGTCATCTTGCTCTCCTTCATAAATTTTATAGGCTGGATTCCCAATCTCAACATTCATAGCGCCATTTGTCATTCTCTGATGTTGAAAGCCTTTGGCTCTGCAGATATACAATATACAGTTTAAGTCACAGAAATAAGTGTGCGAGGTCATTATTACACTGTACAGAGCAGCACGAGGAGAAATACAACCACAACACACAGGGACGCCACTAACAGTCACTGGAACAACCTACAACACCATCAGAAACCCAGTGCTTACCAACATCTGCACAATTTGAAGTCAACCATCATAGTGAATTATTTATATTATTTATTAAGGTACAAGTATAATGTATCTCTAAAAAAGGGTTGGGCGGTATGACAGTTTATAACATGCAATGTGAGTGAGCCGCTCTATACTTTTTATACAGCGGTACATAAAGTTGCAGTTGTTTTTGTAACATACAATAGAAAGCAGAATAACTATATTAACTCGCTGCATTGATATAGCTCAGTGAAACTCAACAGATGTACGTGTTTAGCGATATATATCATTTTCAACAACTCTGAATACATTTCTTTCAATAAGAATTTAGTCAAATGTGTTTTTTTTTGTTATAAAATGTCAAGCCAAGTGTATTTAGATTAAAAGCTGCTTAAAAGCTGCTTTCGAGTAATAAACAGGAAAAACAGCATCAAAGTCGCAAAATTCTTCAATTAGAAATCTCTAATTTCAGTGATAATTATAACTTCAATTA